AAAAAAAAAAAAAAAAAAACCACACCTGGAAAATGAATTCTTCCCAAAATCTAAAGAAAACAAATTCATCATTTCTAAGGAAAACTGGGCGCGTGAGTTTAGGTGGGAAAAATAATTCTATGGAAAAGATTTGGCATCAAACATTCACTAGAGGTGGGAAAATGAAAATATTTTCCAACTTTCATGGAAAATGTAACATATCAAACATGGCCTTATATTAAAGATTATTACGGAAAATGTATGTCTATGTATTTGTTAGAGGCACGTACAAAAGCCCTGTTCTTCCACAACCTAAAAATATAGACTTTAGCCAGTTGTACGGAAAAAAATCACCAGAATTTCACCATAAAAGAGACAGTAGTGGGTCCCATCGTGTATTTAAAAAAGAAAAAAAATGAGCGGACCCTACCGCTGTGTGAGTGCTATGTTGCATTTCCGATGTTTTTATTTTTGTACTTGCATTACATTTCAAAAATATATCCTTATAAACTGTAGTACGATCATTTGAAAGTCCAATGACAGTTACCTCTGAATAATGATAGAGCTAATCAATGATGGAGGGATGTTTGATTTAAAAAGATTATGGATTTTATATAAAAATAACAAAGCAAGTATTACTTATACAATTAGTTCATATAATAATAAGTTTAGACATGAGATGAAAATTTAATTTATTTATAGCATTTACTTTGTATCAAAATAAAATTTTTTTATTTTTTAAATATTATTACAAGTGTACACTGAAATTGTTTATTTCTTAAGGGCTTGCTTGTGAGTTTCAGTTTACCGATTATAAACATTTATTAAAGTACCGATTTTGAGCTTTTATAAACGAATTAATTATGAATGATTTCAGTAGTGGTTTTTAAAACAGTCCATCGATTCTGAAAGTTTTTTTAAAAAAGTAAAATTATGTATATGTTTCTCTTAATGAAATTTTGAGTTTATGGTTTTGCATGAAATTTTTTCCTTATAAGTAATATTTTATTTATATGTGATTTTTTTGCATATAATTTAATATTTAACTTAAAAGGTTAAATAAAATGAAATTTATTTAAAATTTTATGTTACTATTTCTTAGTTAGCCCCCGTTTGGTGTACATTTTGAAGGTAAGAATGCATTTTTACTGTTGATGTGTTGGAGAATATGTGGTTGAAAAAGAAAGAAAAGTTGTTAATGTGATGGAAAATATTATTTTATTAAAGAATATGTGATTGAAAATGAGTAGAATAATGAGAATGAAAAAAATAATGTGGACCAAACAAGGCCTTATATATAAACTTTATAATTATAAATTTTTGTAGTTTTAATTAATTTTTACAAATAAGCGAATTTTTTATTTATAAGTAACTTTTTGTATTTTATAAGTGATTTTTTGTCTTATTAGTAAGACTTTTATACAAAAATAATTTTTTATCTTAAGAGTAATATTTTGCTTATATTTAATTTTTTAATTATAATATAATTTTTTTTGTTTATAAATTTTTTTTTAGTTAATATATTTTAAGTTAATATTAAATAAAATATATTTGTTGAAAATAATTATTTTATAAATGGTAAAATTAGAGGAGAATTTGAGAAACACTAAAAAATCGTCGATTTAATGGATTGAGAAAATTTGTCGAAAGTACACTGCACCACTTCTGGATAGTTTAACCATTCAAAATTGATGCTCAAAAAATTTAACAAACATCAATTATTTCAATCCTTCTTAAATTAGGAGGAAATAAAACTCCCAGGCCATAAAGAAAAGGTCAAAACGAATAATTAAATAAATAAAAAGATAAAGCCAAAATTACCTCCTCCTCCTCTGCCACCGTTCCAATCCTACGCCACCGCTCCGCTCCGCCTCGCTAGTTTCCCTGCCAGCCAATTATATTTCTCCGATTCTCACCGCGTCTACCCTATCCTCGTACTTCTCAGTTAGCCGCAAATTTCGTTGTCAACTTCTTCGGTGAAGGTGATTTTGTGCTCACTTGCTCCTTTATTTGGATTTTATTTTGTTTTATTTAATTGTATTTGGAGAAACAAATGGGCAGAACATTCTATCGCGATCATACCAGCTCCCAGACTTTAATGCTCACCACAATCAGATACACAGGCGCATGCCACATTCCATTCAGAGGGTCGGAAGATTATTCTCGGACTTTGAATTTAATCAATTTCTTTTGATTTCACGATGCTTGATTTTTTTTTTCTCTTATGTCCTTTCGTCAGTTTTTGTAGTTATTTATGAATTTCACTGGGTTTCAGCTCTGTTCTTCAACTTGACTAAGTATCTTGTTGGTAATTCCAGTCAATTTTCAATTATTTTGGGGGGAAAACCTTGATAAAATCAGAGAATGCTCAGTTAGAAAAATGTTAAAGAGCTAGTTTAATATTCCTTCTGATTTATCTCGCAGTATCTGGAATGATTTGAATAAGTTAATCATGTTTGGATTGAATAATTCTTGATTCAGAAAATGACAAGTCAACTGTAATCTTACATATGATTCAAATGTGTACATAAATTTGATTTTGGATTGATTCTGATTTCTTTTATAGTGGAACTTCTAGGGTCTAACCATCAATATACACTAACAATACTTTTTCTTAGTATATATCAAAATAGATATTTGTGTTTGCAAATGTAAACTTTAGCTGTTTCACTTGTGCTTTTCTTTTTAGAGTATTAATTATAGTGTGGGATGCCAATTGACTCTCAGAGAGAATATTATAAATGCTTTAAGTAGAAATAGATGATGTTAATGCTGATGACAATAACAATATTCTCGGATATATTTGACGAACTGGAGACTGATATTTTGCAGCAAGGTCTGCTATTTGAGGTACATACGAGTCCATTGTTTGAAATTGAATGTTGGGGCATATGTTTTTCCTCCACTTTCTGATACAAAATTATGCTTTGGTGGGAGAAGTAACTAAAGGGGAAAATGACACTTTACCACGAATGACAGTCATATGAAATTTGGGGGTGAATTCACAATCTTTGTTTTGCATACTCTATCTAATTCATTTGATGAAGATGATGGGAGGAGATGACAGATTACACTAAGAAAGATTGGTAAACTTGATTAAAAAAAAAGACAGAGAGGATGCAAAAGGAACTTTACTATGAGCTGCAGAATAATTGTTGCACCAGAAGAGTTCAAGAAGCAGTTTTCATGCAAATCGTGCAGTTTAAAGATCGGACCTACCGATTTTATTATTTATATAGTTCTTTTGTGATAGTATTCATGTTTCATATTGTTGGCCTTTACCTTGAAGGTGGCTCATCTGATTCTAGATTAGTTTCTTTTTCTGTTGCTTCATATTTGGCTCATGAAGACTGACAACAAAGTTAGAGGGAAGGATGGATTATTGTTGGATTGACATTATTAGTAGAACTGTGGAGACGGAATAGATGAAAAGTTTATGCTTGATAACTTAGTTTGGTTTCGTGTTGCGCTAAATTTTGGGTGACCTATCTTGTAGAGATATATATGAAGTTTGACCTCAACTTTGTTAGTTTTATAATTTTCTAACGTAAGTGGGTGATATTTGCCATCAACGATGTTAGTGTTCGGTGTTTTTAATGAATAAACAGTTATGAGTGATAGTATATCTTTTCCTGCCTTTAGGTGGTGTTGTCCTGTGATGCTCGGACTCTTTGAAATAGTCGGAGTACTCGTGTCAACGAAACACAACACGAGTACGAGTACGGGTACTCCACTCGAACATGGCAATTTATAGAGGGGTTTATATCTTCCAGCCCTTACACAATTTTCGTGATTTTAGTCAAATGAGCTATTGTTTCCATTGCTACTAATGTGTTTAAGTTAATTAGGTTGACAAAAAAGCTATAGTAACAGTGTTGATAGGTTAATAAGGTTGACAAAGAAGTCTTATTAACTAAATTTGGACTATTTTAGCTATGTTCACGTATCTTATATTTTAGAAAATAAGAGATCCAACACTTAGATACGTACCCGAGTCCGAGCATCATAGGTGTTGTCCTTCTTGAATTTTGAATTACATAATTTATGTTTACTTTTTGAGTCTGATGATCTATTTTACATAGATACGAGATTATACATAATAAGTGATAGAAATCTGTTCATATTTTATTATCACGGTAAAAGTATATTATAATTATTTGAGATCCAGGGAATATAATTCTAAGTATTTATTACTGTTCAGAGGTCAAATAATTTATTTAGCCCCTTGTTTGATCCTCATTTTTCTCAAAACTAATTTCAAACCATACATTCTTTCAATACAATAGTTTTACACGTAAACCAAAAACTTTTTCCTACTTTTTAACCTCACATTCTCCAAAAAAATCATTATCCCAAAATCTATTAACCCAAAAAATGGGGCTCAAACCTAGGCTTAGTTGTTCATCATGTTCATAGTTGACTTGGTTAGAACTAATTTCTACATGAGCTTGATTCTGGATGTGCTGCTGGATGTGGGTTAGTAAATTCACATGGTTGAATGTGACTTTTTATATGGTTGCTATCTGTTCTATACTGTTGTACTTCTGATGCTGTCAACATGTCTTCTGCAACAAGATATATTTTAACCCAGTTCAACTTTGGCTTTATTGTTTTTGTCAAGCAACCTATATTCGTTTCTATCTGCATGATACTCACTGCCAATCTTATAATTTTGGACATTCTGCTAAATTGGGGTGTAATCCTATGATAGTTGTTATCTGCTCAGGACTTCCTTATTACATCGACGGTATTATCTTTTAGTTACTGTGAATTTTATGTGGTTTAAGTCAAATGAAGGATCTTCCGGAAGGAAGAAAAGGAAAGAAATATAATCAAGGGGACCTAGAGTAAATGCTTGGTTTTCTGGCATCATCAATAACAAGTATATTCTATGTCATTGAGCCAGGTCTTGGTTTTATGTGCCTCGAACTGTCCGGCTACGGCTAACTGCCTTTCTTAATGCAAAAATGACATAGTCAAGTATTTAAGCACGTGCACATCCAAGAATCAATGACCTCGTTGGTGGCTTATGCATTTTCCTCAATCCTCATCACTCATACTACTTCTGCTCTAAAAGAAATTGATAGTCTTTTGTTCTAATTATTATGTGAAGGAAATAGAAGTTCCATCCTCTGCTCTAGAGATTTCAATGATGCAACACGTGGGCAGTGCAGGGAACACATCAAATTCGCTCCGTCCTCGAAAAGAGAAGAAGTTGACTTATGTGCTGAATGGTGCAGATGATACTAAGGTGATTCTTTGTTTAAATTCATTATTGATACTCACTTTGTAATTTTTGAGTCCTTTCTTTGATACACTTCCCTGGCAAAGAAAAAATAAAGTAAAGCAAATTAGATAAAAAAAAAAACCTTTCGTTCTCTTAACTTCAGTTACTGGAAAATTTTACTATAAATATTATATTGATTGTTTTTATACTTCCCTTCCATTTCTCCCTCGACCTCCATATATACACGTGCCATTCTCTTTTATTGCAACATCTTCATTATTGTATCCGACTCCATTTCTCTATATGTAACTCCTATGCATAGTAACCAAATAATTTGAATGGGAAAGAATAGTGAATAAAAGCATATGTTGTTTCTATTTGCCAATAATCTGCTTACCACTTGCGTTCGATGTGGATAGCAGGGACATTTGCTCCATTTCCTAAATGCTTGTACATAAACTTATATCGCATAGATCATAGCATTTGTTTAATTTCGCTATATTGTACGCATATGTTCGGGTGTTGAGGAAATGCAAATCTTAGGCATTTGAGGGAATTGACATAGTTTAAATCATTTATGGAACTTTTGGGATACCTTATTCACTGCAGATAAGTCTAAAGTTGTGAGGACTGATAGGACTAGAATGTCTGCTTGCCTTATTGACTTCATGTTGATAGTGGGTTGCACTTGGTTTCACTATATTTGACACGAACGAGAAGAAAATTATTGCATCATTCTTATTTCAAATGATGATAGTATGTCAGTGCGTCTTTGGTTGCTAGCCAGCAGTGATATGTTATCTCTATATATTTCTTCCTCTAAACAAGAAAGTATAATCTCTTTGCTATTGTTTAAGTTGTAAGAGATCTTGATTGTAAGACACGGTTAATTACACGTGTCTTTTGATGAGAAATGAAATAGTTTGTGCAGTCCTTTTTGTAAGAATTTAAAAGCTGTGCAGGAGTAAATTTAGTAGTGACTACACTTCCAACGATATTTGGTCTTGTAAAAGCCTTAGCTTTATGTTCCCCTTTTTACGTGACATATTTATCTGTGTTGAGATTCATTTACATATGTTCTTGTTGAACCCGTTTCATTGCCAATAAAAAAGTGGTCCTCATAAGACTATGAAAATACTTTCACCACCGTATATGCTACTGCTGATTGGGTACTAATCTTTGCCGTCTCTTCTGTTGGGCGTTTCCTCTATTTGCAGCACTGTGCAGGCATAAACTGCTTGTGTCTACTGAAGTCATTGGGACAAGATGAGTTTGATTATCTCTTCACTGGGAGCCGTGATGGCACATTAAAGAGATGGGCATTGGCTGAAGACGCTGCTGCATGGTCAGCTACATTTGAATCGCATGTGGATTGGGTACACTCATTCTCTTCTTTGGTTATCTTTTGTGAATATCTCTCTATATGTCCTTTGGAGGTTAATTTTTCTGCTGGCTTGTCAAACAAACTTCAGTCTTCATTTCTTTCACTAATGCATACCTCTCAACTGTACATTTTCTTCTGATAGGACATAGATTTCAGCCAAAAATATGACACTAGCCATCTCTAGAGTATCCTATTACTTCTGTTTCATGTGTTGCTTCATTGTGAGGGATTACTGATGAGTCTTTCTAACTTCATATCCATTTAAGCACATTCAATTACCTGATTGACACCCCAAGAAATATTATAATGTCAAATTCCGGTTTGCATTATATATTATAGGACATGGCTCCAAGAAACTGTTTTACAAATTTAATTCTGTTTTCTATGTTATAATCTTTTACTGTACAGTTTGGACATCTTGGCATTAAGTTTTGCATCTCTTGGCTATACAGGTAAATGATGCTGTTCTTACAGGTAGTAACACATTAGTTTCCTGTTCCTCAGATACCACTGTTAAGGTTTGTATGCTGTCTGTATTCATTTCTCAGTATATATCAAAATCATTTTTTATACTCATTTGTTTTTATTTGGTTGACACGATCAGGCATGGAATTTGTTGTCTGATGGAACTTGTATTAGGACCTTTCGTCAGCACTCTGACTATGTCACTTGCCTTGCTGCAGCTGAAAAAAATGTAACTTTTTTACAGTATCTTGTATCGGAGAGCATATTGTTGCATTGTATATTTTCCTGATATTAGTTTATGATCGTTTTACTATATCTTGTATAACAGAGCAATATTGTTGCTTCTGGGGGTCTTGGTGGGGAGGTTTTCATATGGGATCTTGAAGCTGCCCTTGCTCCTCTCTCCAAGTCAAATCATGCAGCTGAAGATGAGTGTTCAAACAATGCAAACAGTTTGGAATCTTCTTTACCCAGTAACAGTCTTCGACCTATCAACTTAAGTGATAACAGTTCTCAGAAAGCTACCCAGTCTCAAGGATATGTTCCCATTGCCGCAAAAGGTCATAAAGAGTCAGTTTATGCATTGGCTGTAAATGACCAGGGAACACTTCTTGTTTCTGGTGGAACTGAGAAGGTATTTTTTGGTAATGAGTTTTTTCTCAATTGTTCAATTAATGGTTTCTCTAGTGCAAAAGGAGCTGTTAATACATTTATTTTTGTGTTCTTATCCATTCACATACTTCTGATAAAATAATCTCTGGATTGCCTCATAACTGTGCTACAATTTTATTTATATCTTGTAGGTTGTGCGCGTCTGGGACCCAAGAACAGGTATTAAGACGATGAAGCTTAGAGGACACACTGATAATATAAGAGCATTGCTGTTGGATTCAACTGGAAGGTTTGTTGTACAGTGTTTTAGTTCAGCTGCGGTTTTGAAAGGACCTTGATTGACATTGAAATTATAATGCTCACGAGAATATAAGGATGGTTAAATGCTCACGTTCAGCTGAAATGTGGAAATGCATGTTTTAGCTATAAAATTTCCAAATCGTTGATTTTTTTGTTTGTGAGGATAATGTATTGATAATTCCTCAAGGATTTTAGAACTAATGCATGAATACTGTGTCTAAAAATGCTAGTTCTAACTTTATACTAAATTTTGAGTGCACATTTAATTTCAGAGTTCTGTGATCTTTATTCTGCTAATTTCTTTTACTAACATTAAACAAAAAACTATGCTTTCGAAGATGAAGGTTTAGACTAGTCTGGGACAACAATGACCAGGCTATTTTTTTTAGTTCGTCATCCTTTCCAGTTTACAGAACAGATGTAGAAAATACATGAGTTCTACATTTTTTAAACCAAAAACTATGCTTTCGAAGATGAAGGTTTAGACTGGTCTGGGACAACAATGACCAGGCTATTTTTTTTAGTTCGTCATCCTTTCCAGTTTACAGAACAGATGTAGAAAATACATGAGTTCTACATTTTTTTTTACTTTAGTGGAGAACGGGAAGCTCATGTTCTTACTGATATTACTTAGTTGGATCACAAACCCCCCACCGCCCCACACTCGCCAAAAATAGAAAAAGAAAAATTATTTGAGAGTATCTTGTCTACTAATGTAGTTATTTTTGTATCCAAAGTTCTCCTTTTTTATGAAGCAAGGATTAATGTTTTCCTTTATCAATTTTGCAGATTCTGCTTATCTGGATCTTCTGATTCTATGATCAGGTATACATGCATGCTTACTAGTGACTAGTTATCAATGAAAGCATCTGCGTGAGTCCTAGCAGCAGATAGATACAACATTTGCCCTGCAACTTTTTGTTTTTATTTCCTATGGGAAATTTTATATTAATAAGATATCATGATTGAATTCCAACTGCAGAAGATTCGGAACATGTTTTATTATATCGTGAGAAATTTTCTGAAAGTTGTTAGGGATGTGTTTGGTTTGACACTGGTCATCATAGTTATCTTAATGACTGATTGCTTTAACAAACTAAAAAAGTACACACTGAATGACCATACTCTGGAGATTGCTTTACCAAATTTTTGCTTACAAAATTTTTATAACCAGATCAGACTTGAATTTTGGTTCAACAGTCTAGTGCCTGGTTCTAGTTTTTGATAGCGTTATTAAAATGCTCTTCTTTGCATAAAGCATTCTCTGTATTTGATCAGTAGTTCACGCTCATTTTATCTTCCGAGAAAGGTGATTATGCCCCTATGCAAATGCTGTGCATTTTAAATTTCTTAATTGGTTTTCTTTGTTTGTACACATTGGAAGGTGGCATCTTATGATTACACAGATAATATTGTTTGTTATTCTTTATGTATTCGGCTTTTTGTGCTTAAATTGTAATAGGCTATGGGATCTTGGTCAGCAGCGATGTGTGCATTCTTATGCTGTGCACACAGATTCTATCTGGGCACTTGCCAGTAATCCAACGTTTAGCCATGTTTATAGTGGTGGAAGAGACCTTTCTGTAAGTGAAATTAACAACTCAACCAATATGAAGATTAACATCCCCCGTATTATAACTACATTGTCAATCTTTTTGAAGATCTGTGTTTGTACTCCTCAGTTATATTTGACAGACTTGTCAACAAGAGAAAGTGTTCTAATTTGTACGGAGGAACATCCTATTTTGCAATTGGGATTGCATGATGATGGTGTATGGGTTGCCACATCAGATTCTTCTGTACATAGATGGCCAGCTGAACCACATAATCCCTTGAAAGTTTTCCAAAAAGGTGGTTCTTTCTTGGCTGGGAACTTGTCCTTTTCCAGGGCAAGGGTTTCGCTGGAGGGATCTACACCTGTGAGTTACTCCTCCCCTAGTCTTGTATTTTTATCTTGAAGTTTTAGTCCAATTATAAATGTAAGAAGTCTTTAGTTGAACCAGTTCTCTCTGCTTAAGAGCTGTGCCCTACCCTTTTTTGACTGACTAAATCTGGACGGAAAGAGCTGTTTCTTTGCGATGCCTCAGGTTTCTTTCTTGATGAAAATACAGACAAGATCTAAAGGTCAGCAACAGTCATAGAATAAGATATCTTTGGACCAGAAGTCAATAAATTAGATGTCTAAGAATCAGTTAGGATATTATGGTTTTCATGCCACAATCTTGTCCTCTAAATTGGTCAGTTACGGGATCGTCCAGTTCCCGACTTCCGTAATTCACAAGTTATGGGTCCCATAGAATGCGCAATCGAAAATGATTTTGGGGAACAATGACTTCTAACAAGCTCTAAAAATGCTGAATTGCCCTTAAGCATGCTCACATAACAAAAATCAACAGAAGATACATCACATAGAAAAACAGAAGTACATGTTTTTAATCTGTCTATGATTTGTAAATTATATATTGCCAATGAGAAATTGAAAAGAATAGTATCATTTGAATTTTCTAATTGCAATAGAATAGATTAGTTCGTTAGTAAAATTTCAAATGATTTCCTTATTTCTTTGAAAAATTATTATTTCTGAGCACAACTGCACATGAAATTGGAACACAGTTGGAAGTTTGGTGCTTCAAAAGAATTTTTTAAAGTTGAGGAGTTCCACTTTATAGAATGACCAAATGGGAAGGTGAGTACAGTTAAGAATGAAGTTGAGGAAGTACATTTAATTGAGGAGCCTACTTGGAGGCCAAAAAGAAGAAGGTTGAAATGAGTTGTGGGGATCGCGATTTCTGAGTTCTTCCATGAAATAGCATCTATAATGGACATAAGAATAAAGGTGCTTGCGTCAAAATTTATGAAAAGATATGCTATTGCTGTTGTCCAAGTGCATGAGCTATCTTGTGAATTGTTCCTTTCTGTTAGGTTTTCAAGTGAAGTTAAGTTAATATTGAAAAACATTTAGTTATATCCATTTGAGATTCATATGTTATGAAGTTTGTTTTCTTCTCCATCGTTTTCTTTTGTTTGGTCAATTTCCTTTATAGAGGTTGGGAGGATAATTTGCAAACTGATGCTACTGACAATTGATGATGTTGCAGGTTCCTGTTTATAGAGAACCATCCGTAAGCATTCCTGGAATTCCTGGAATAGTGCAGCATGAGATTTTAAACAATAAAAGACATGTCCTCACTAAGGTAAGATCATCTTGTTGCCTTTTGTTAGCAAATTCATAATTTCTTTTTCCCTTGATCTCCCATGCTTCTTGTTTTACTGCTTAGGAATTAGGTTACTTAAACTGATATCTGGATTGTGCATCTTCTAGGACACTACCGGCTCAGTGAAGTTATGGGATATTTCAAGGGGTGTGGTGATTGAAAACTATGGAGAGGTTAGTAGTGTATTTCTGAAGGCTGTCATTAGAGTATAAATAATTTAATTATTTCCAAATTCATGACTTTCTCTGGGAAGTGGGAGTGGGTAGCACCAAGATTGGTTGACAACATGCTTTATAATATAACATGTACTCAGGACTTCCTGTATATTCTTGCTATCTTTTTTAAACTTATTTTATTCTTCTGTTTTAGGTTTCATTTGCGCAGAAAAAGGAAGAACTATTTGAGATGGTAAGGATTACTACCTGATAATAGCTATGTCCAACAATATTTTTCTTAGCATTCTTATGACCTATTTTTCTGATTTAGGTAAGCATTCCTTCTTGGTACTCTGTGGATAGTAGGCTTGGAAGTTTGTCAGTGCATTTAGAAACGCCACAATGCTTTTCTGCCGAAATGTATTCTGCTGATCTCAACATTGCTGGTAAACCTGAGGATGACAAGGTATCAACAATTGGATCATCTTTGATTGCTCCTCCATTTAAAACCTGTCTTTCCTATTAAATTGTTTGTCTGAAATCTATGGTTAGTAGTACCATGTTATGTACTTCCATTGAGGTTTAGTTAGCTTCAAATTTCCAAGTACACCTGTCTATACTTATATTGTTTAGTTTGCTAACTTTTAAATTTCAAATTTATATTAGCCAATTAATTCTAGGCTGGTGGTAGCATTTGCTTCAGTTGCACTTTGCATTCATTTAGTTGTCAGGTTTTGGATTCCACAAATTGGTCGTAACTTTTTGAAGTATTTACTTGACTTGAAACGAAAATGGGTAGTATATTTTATAGGCTGAATATTTTGTTAACCTTTTATAGTTTAGATATGTTTCTGTTTGCTTTAATACAAAATAAATGTGGTTGACCTATATGATTATGTAGGTTAATTTGGCACGCGAAACCCTTAAAGGCCTGTTGGCCCATTGGTTAACAAAAAGAAAGCGAAGATTAGGATCTCAAGCTTCACCAAATGGAGGAATTCCATCTGGGAAGGATATGTCTACAAGGACTACATGCTTATCTAGAGTTGAGGTGGATGGTAATGCCGAAAATGATTCCACAGTGCATCCACCATTTGAATTTTCAGCAGCTTCCCCTCCTTCTGTTATTACTGAGGGCTCTCATGGAGGTCCATGGAGAAAGAAAATTACCGAACTAGATGGAACTGAAGATGAGAAAGATTTTCCGTGGTGGGTTCTTGATTGTGTGTTGAATAATCGCCTTCCCCCCAGGGAAAATACCAAGTAATTTACTTGAAGACTTCCCTCAATTCGTAAAATTTCTTTTGATCTGCATGTTTCTAGAACTTTGCAACTACTGAACTGGATATGTATGAATTCTGGGAGGCATCCACAAAACTGTCAAAAATCATGGGCAACTTTTAATACCGTCTTAGTTTTCTCTTAAGTTCGTTATTTGCTCCTCATTGAGCATTAGAGTTTCTCTCGGTGGAAAACTGAAAATTTTTTATGTGTTGCTTTTGTTTGTTGAACATTTGTGGCAGACGTTATGCTATTTTATCTGTATGTTGGATTTTGTCATCTTAAATTCTTTTATCTGAATCTTTTTTTCATTCTCATATTTTTATTTTGATATCTTTCAGCAGTCTCTCTCTCTCTCTCTGTGTGTGTGTTTGGACGTGCACGCTTTTTTGTATGCCCTGTAGTTCATTGTCTATGAAGACCTATTTTCCTCCGTTATATGTAAATTTTCTCAATGTATACAGATGCAGCTTCTATTTGCACCCATGTGAAGGTTCTACTTTACAGATCATTAAGCAAGGAAAACTTAGCGCCCCTCGAATTTTGAGAATACATAAAGTAAGAACTTTAACATTGTAGGCTTAGTCTACTTTGCGTACACCTAGTACTGAAACATTTAATTTTTGGTGTTGACAGCATTGATTATATGGTTGATCTCAGTCTTTTAGTCCCTTATTAGGTTGACCTTTGTGAAAATGAGTTCGGTGGTATTTAGGTCCATGTGTAACAGTATTTTTCGCTTGTACTGCCCTGACTGTTAAGTCAAGTCATTCAGAAAGTTGTCAAGATTTCCAAATTGGAAGAGGTTTGAGGCTACTTGTAAATAAAATGGGAGTAATCATTAAAAACCTATAATTATAAGGGGATAAATTAGAATTAGTTAATCTTTCAACTCATATTATTGTATAAATATTAACTAGGATATCACAGTTAATGAAATGTAAGTTGCACTCATGGCTTATCTTTTTCTAAATATTTGTTGTAAAAATAAAACCCATACTCGCTAACAACATTTACTTATTAACTTATTTCTTTAAGAAAAGAGTGTTACGAGAATTGAAGATTTGATAAGATAAGCAAAATTGTTGATAATTGGAATCGGATAGTCATTCGAAAGTATGTTTTATGGTAAATAGTTAATGTTATTTATATGGTTGATTGCTTTTTGTTATGCTTTCAATGTTTTTTATTGCAAAGTTATGCGTATACATTATGTAAATATAACACGTGCACACAGACACTTACGGACTCTCTCTCTCTCTCTCTCTCTTTCTCACACACACACACACACACACATTTTTAATATCTATTCATGTTTAAAATATATTTCATCAATGAAGAAACTTGTATTATTCTTGTATCTTAAGGTCGTCGTGAACAAGCTATTGAATTTAACAGAAAGAACATATTCTGTATTATAAAAGTTGGAAAAAGAGTAATATGATTTTTTTTCTCAAATTTTAGGTACACGTTATCAATCTCATATTTTTGTTTCAAATATCTAAAACATATTTTACTTCCTTAATTATTAATTTTTTTTTATATTACATATATTTAGTCATCAGTCATGATTGGCCTGACAAGTGAAATTCAGTAGGGGTTTTTGGATGATAAAATCTAGTCCAGTAAGTCATTAGTATCTTGTCCCTCCGTCCCATTTATATAGACTCACTTTCCTTATTTTCTTGTCCCAATGATATAGTCTTGTTTCTTTATTAAGAATGTTTTATTTTGTTCGTTTACTAATATACCCTTATTTTTTTACTACTTCTAATAATAATTTACTACTAGTTATTAATAATTAAATGAGGGTAAACTAGGAAAGTTTTTGGCAAAAATTGCTTTCCAATAACATTAAATAAGATTTTTTAATCCATGTGAAAAATGAAACAAGCCTATATAAATGGGACGGATGGAGTATATAGTATCATATTTCTCACCTATTTGCACTATAGTCAACTCTGCAAAAAGATATTGTCCACAAGCTATGGTTGTGATTTGTTGTTTAAAGCAGACACCAACTATTGCTTTTTTTTCCTACAACCTTTCGTCAAATAAAAAGATATGCTCAAGAATTTTTGTTTCTGACTGAATCACACACTTCTTGTGTTTTAAACTTTTGGACATGAGCAGGGTGTTAGCAAGAGGTCTTTTACATAGTTTCTGTACACACGAATTATATGTGAAAAGAAGAGCTTTTGGGGAGTAGTCGTGATGTAAGACCATTATTTTAGTCGCCCCCACCCAAAAACTCATGCTCATATATTTTAAAATTCTGCAAGTTTTTGATGTGAGGTCCCTACAGAGAATTATGATCGACTCAAATTTTATACCTCAAAAACAGCAACCTAGTTTCTTCCTTTTTTGATCTCCCACTAAATAATAGAGGATGTGAGGACCGTGTTGTGATTCTATTCTCTTGAGGCTCTTCGAGATCTCTACATGGGCAGTCCCCCGTAATAAACTGTGGCTGGAATAAGTCCATGTCATCGAAATCCCCTTAGCGCTAGGAGATTTATGGTGGAGCCGTGGAGGGTACCTTTATTGATTTGGATGTCGTCATCTCTCTTCACCTGCATTATATGATATATTTTGTTTTTATGGACTGTTAATCTCAACTAAAAATTAAAGCAGATGTTCTTTTAATGTAGGGTTGAATTTTATTTTTGTAGGTTGTCAACTATGTCGTAGAAAAGATGGTTCTTGATAAGCCATTAGATAGTATGAATGTGGATGAAACCTTTTCTCCAGGGATGCCAGGAGGTCAGATTCTACCCCCAGTTGGAGATACTTCTCTCCTACCTGGACTCAAACCTAGGCAAAATCTCAAGCCTTCCATTGAAATCTTGTGTAATAACCAGGCAAGTTTCTGCAGAGATGATTGTGATAATGAAGCTAATTTATAATTTTAAAGAGAAATTCACATGTTCCATACTATCGGTTCTGTTTGTATGCTGGGAGGAATATGTTCCATTTATAGATAATAATGGAAAGAATATTTTCAGAATTGTTATACAATGGAACCATTTTCTAAGATGTGCATATTGAATTGGTCAAAACTTAAAACAAGCTCTTTAATTGGATACTTGGAACATGTAATGACAATTTTAAAGTGTTATAGATCTTCAGTATGCAATATTCTCTCATTGTTAAGAATAATATTTTAATTTTGCCTATGGCTACTGTACAAGTATAATTTCTTGAGAAGCACCTGAAGCAAGTGTTGCCTGCAGTTGACAAAATCTCAAATGTTTCTACTGAATTAAATTTAGCAAAAGTTACTGCACCCAAATACAAATGTAATTTTTATGGTGCTCCTTCTCTATTGCATTTCTGTCTCCTTTTCACCTATCCCCCTTCAGTTATCATAAATGTTAATCTTTCATTAGTAAGGTTTATGCGGTCCATGATTATCATTGAACCTTTTCCAAATCTAGATACCTGTTTTATGGAACAAAATGTATTTGAGTGCTGCCTCTTCCTCTCACATCTTAAATGATAAAAAAGGAATCATTTTGTTTATATAAGTACTGAACTCTGGTAATCCCCAGGTACTATCTCCTGACATGAGCTTAGCCACTGTCCGGGCTTATATATGGAAGAAACCTGATGACCTTGTTCTCAACTACAGAGTGGTGCAGGGATGGTGATGGATGACTTAAAGGTGATACTTCATTATAAGGTGTATGCTGGTTATTATTCAACGTTTCAATTTCAATTAAGCTTCATTTCCTTATTTTGGTTTTTGTTGTGCTGTTTGTATATTGTAAATTAGAGGTGGCAATCTGGTACTGGTTAAAATGACCTAAATTCATCTGCAGTTTTATGGGTTGGGTTGCTTATATTAATCTACGGGTCAAGTTTGGTTGGGTTTTCTTAAACCTGCTGATCACAGTTAAAAAATGGGCTGTGCAGCATTTGCAGTCTTAAAAGTCACAAATCACCAGCATCATGTACTCTGGTCTTAACATAAAGATTTGGAGGACAGAGACGAGGGAAGCTGCTTAGGTGTCAATGACAATAATGTCTTCTAAAGCCGAAACTTTTATGTGTTTGTGTAAGGTCTATTGTGAGTTAAGGGGGCAACTGACGAGTCAGTAATGACTACCTGGGGGTTGCTTTGTTAAAGGGAGTTACTGTGATGTTTCTGAAAGGTAGAGAGGATCTTAGTTCTTCAGTTTGAAGTGACGTAACCGTGGAAAGGAATTGTTTGAAATTGATATTGTTTATATGTAAAAAATGGAAAACGTTAAGCGTTATTGAGTTGTGCTTGTAATTAATTCTGACAGAAAAATATAGTGACTAAAATAATGAGCTCATGCTTGCTAGAGTTTCTCTGTAGGTTTCAAAGCTTCAGAGCCACATTAGATTGAGTTGAGAGAGTGATGCAAACCATTAGATCATGATGTAAATGAGAGAGTTGGTTTCAGCTCTTTTTCCACCGAATTAATACTTCGCCCAACCCTTGCAATTGTTGAGCATACAAATGTTGTTTAGATCATGAGTTGGCACAAGAAAAAGCACGAAAACTGTTTGTCAATATCAATGATCAATACCTTAGAATAGGTGAATAGAAGAAGGAACTTTTTTCACTATCCCAATTTCTTTTTTGGTATTGAAATCTCAAAAAAATCAATAAATGTTGGATGTGAAAATTTAAAACAAGTCATTGAAAACTAGAAGAGGATCCACACGTGGTACTAAAATTTAATTGATTGTGTAAAAAGTAAGACGGAAGTCACTCTAGATTTGAGAGTCTTTCTTTTCTCAAGGTCTGCTGCTTTTTCTGGCCTATAGGTGGGCACCGCCTTAGACTGGATTAGATTGGATATAGGATTAACTTCGAAAAGACATACCATTAGGATGTGTGTGACCCCTTTTGCGGCTTCAAAAGCCCCTTTAGTAACCCTACTAATCATTTGGTCCAATTGCTTAGTGTACAGGTTCTAATAGCTGAAATCCAATGAATTCTTGACTACTGAGTTTAAGTAATTAGTTTTAGACTAGCCCAGCAAAAGTCTAAAATCGCACTTTGAACCATGAACTAGTTGAAGAAACTTACAAACTCCATAAAACTAATCAGAAGAGCTAGGCTTCAAGATCAACAAGCACAATGGTCTATCAGATCATCTCCAATGGTGGTGTAAAATTGGATATGAATTGGTATCTTCGAAACCACTTTTGCATCCTCATTTACATCACGGTGTGTCTAACTTTAAATTTTGCTCCAATGGGAAGATCTAAATTCACTTTTTGCCTCTCATGGATGTTTTTCTGCCACATAATGCAATTTACATTTCCTTTGCATCTCTCCATTGGAAACGGTTCTGGCCTTTGGAGATCTAAATCACAACTTAGATCTATTTTACGCCACACGATTGGAGATGCTCTCACCATCAAATATCCATAATTAGATATAGGTGTAAAGACAAATTTACTCTAATTATCTTTATTCTGATGTCATATTTTTTTGGCTAATGAAATGATTAATTGTGATATAATGGTAGATAAATTTTTTGTAAACTCTAACTAAACTACTGAGAGTAAAGATTTATTTGAGTGCTGAAAATGCGCAAAGGGATATGCAGCTTTCATCAGAATCATGTATTCCATATTGTGAAGATAATCGTGTACTCAGGATTTTAAGATACTGAACTATTGATCACTCTTTCAAAGAAATATTGGGAATTCTCAATTTCTCAAAAACTTGTGAATGGAATGGATGACAATTTGTTAAATGTGGTAGTAAGATGATAAGGTTTCTCAGATCATAGCTCCAGCCACCTTTCTTTGCACCATAGCTTCCTCTTGTTTATCAATGTGTTCAGGTGTTTATGCCTTTGTTTTGTACATACGATCTGTACACCTCAATTTCTAATTATATATAATTTGTAAGTATACTTATTTTCTGCAAGTATACAATGAAACTGTTTTGAGCATCTATTTCTGTTGCTTGTGTCATGTAGACTGGAAATGGCATATGGTTGCGGAGTTACTTTGTGCACGTAAAATTCGTGGGAATTGTGCATTCTTCAGGGAATGCTTGCTGTGATCATAAAATTATTGTGCCTCTCCGTAAATCTTGGAAACCAATCAGATGCCAAATTTAGCAAATACCAAGTTTCTCGAGTACTGGCGAGCTGTACCTTTGTTTGATGACTGGATTTTAAGAATTTTGAACATTGGTTTGTGGGGGGGGGGGGGGGGGGGGGGGG